GGCCTTCAACCAAATGGCAATGGCCTCGAACCTAACAGCAATGGCCTTCATCCTAATAGCAATGGCCTCCAACTAACAGAGTCCCCGTTACAACTTCAGTCCTCGAGAGTTTGCTGAAAGAAGGCTTACTTTTGTAACTGAACCCTTCAATATGTGTTTTCTTCCGGTCTAGATCTGGAAAGGCTAGAAAAAAGAGGCATCGGATCGCCCTCGCGTGAATCCATGTGAATCCTAAACGGGATCCCAGAAGGGTTCCGAGCAAAACATCGAGGTCAGCCTTGACTGCGTCTGAAGACTTTGAGCGCTTCCTCCAGGCGAGGCCACTAGCCCATGCGTCGAAAAGCAGAGAAGCGCGCAATAGCACAATAGCACACGCGAGTCCTACATGATTGATCAAGTAAGGAGTATGTCTTGCTTGGTTTCACTGTCTCACAGTGCCATGGAGGTTTGACTTGTGGATGTTCCCATGGTTCAGTTTCAGCGACTGTAAACCGGCTGGTGATTTGATCAGATTGTCACTTTTCAATGTCACTTTGTGTGGAATGCATTTGACGGCTATTGTTTGTTTGCCACCCTTCCGCGACACATTGATTGCTGACTCATGCTGACTCCATTCGAGCTGCTCCCTGTTCTTGGTGGGCTTCGTTGGGAATCTTGACACTGCAACGTTCGTTGTTAACAAGCTTGACAATTGGAGAAGCGGAGAGCTCCATGAGGGAGTTGAGTCTAAGAGTCCAAGAGTTTGGCTTCCCTTTGTTTCGTGTCATTGTTGAGACTTTCTCGCAACTTTGTTGCTTGAACCCTTGAAACATCTTGAAACAGTGTGCTCCAGTAGATGTGTTTTACTTGGACTCATTGGTTTCTCTCGTAACATTGCACGAACATGGCTTTTGGACCTCAGTTTTCGTTCGACTTCGCACACCGTTGGGTCGTCAGTGGTCGACCCTGTCCCACACTGTCCCGCAATGCGGTGAAAAAGACTAATGGGACACACGCCTTTCTGCGAATGGGTGAGAGAAAAGCCAACGTAAAGGAGCAGGATCGAACAGCGCAACAAAACACATCAAAAAAGTCAATGTTCGCTGTCAAAAGCGCACAAGAACACGCGCGAGCTATGAGAAAAAAAACAGCAGAAACAACACTGGTTTCTTCGAAGCAGGAATCAAATGTCGGCCAGCACGGATGTTTCAAAAATATTGGTTCAGCAAGGAACCAAATTGTTTGATGTGCAAAGCATTAGCCGTTAGTTTGATCATGTTGTGAGCACGTTGGCTTCTCAACTGACCTCCAGTGCTGTTCTCTCGCAGGTCATGTTTGCCGCTGCAAGCGGAAGATTAGAGCCAACAGTCGCTGAGCAAAGGATTGATCAGGACGTCAAATGTTAAAAAGGAGAACCAGAAGAAGCTGGTCTCAGAGAGAGGGAGGGAGGGAGGGATAGAAGAAGAGAGAGAGAGAGAGGCAAGTGATTTGCATTCCTCAATTGATTCACAATGAGCAAACTTTGCGCTCGTCATCAGGTCCCCCTGCCACCAGATCAGGATCACTGCATGGTGTCAGAAGACTTATCGGTGAGGGTGCCTGAAGGCCTCTCGCTTGCAATATCTTGCAATCCTTGTTGAGGGTGTTTTTTTTTCTAGTGGGAACAAGAAGCTACTAGGGGCTCCTGTCCTTACTACTAGGAGCAAAGGGCATCGCTACTAGGAGCAAAGGGCATCGCTGCTAGGAGCAAGAAGCTATTAGCTTATTGTTTCTACTAGCTTCTTGTTACTACTAGTAAGGCACTTGTTACTACTAGCGATGCACTTGTTACTATATACCAGGAGCAAGGACGCTACTAGGAGCAAACAGTTTGCCGAACGGATTTCGGAGAACAGATCACCGTCGAGGCGTCACTGCTGGTGATAGCATCTCGGTGCAGTACCTCGGGAGGCACTACGAACTGCAAGTGCCTGAAGGTTTTGAGGTGGGATGGGAGAATGGAATAGCCATGGAATAGCCGGAATACCCGACGAAGCAGGAGATAAGCAGGATGACTCGTTAGCTCCTGTAGTTTTGGCCCTGCCCCCGAAGTGAAGCCATGTTTGGGGAGCATAGTCGAACCAGATTCAGTGCTGATGCCGAAAGGCGGGGATGATCTTCACCACTACTGTGACCTTTCCCGTGGAGACATGAAGATCAGTGGATACGGACCTGGCGCCATGTGATGTCTGAAGATGAAAGCAAAAGCTGAACGTATTCCAGCCCGTGCTGCCCTTGCTCTACCAATTGCCGGATTGCACAATCTTCTCATGCATGTGAGCACTAGCCACCTGGAAATCAAACTGAATGCCAGCTTCCAGAGATATTGCCCTCCCGCACGGGGCTTTCAACACCGACCTGCACAAAAAGATAAGGTGGAGAAGAAATGTCCTTGCTACAACGATGGCGTAGAAAGCTGTGCAAAGAGCTTTGCAAATCAAGGGGCTCACCAGCTGACCCGAGAGCTACTGACACAGGTTGACGTAATGTATGTGACTCGGTCCTGCAACATGGCGACTGGCATGTATCTCAAGTTTGCAGCAACAGCGCTCGGCGCTGCTTGTGCCATTGGATGCCATTGGCAAAGGCAGATCTTAGTTTCGGGCGAAGTCTTTCACTTCAGTTAGCTGACCCTTGGAGCAGTGGAGACAAAGCGCCAAGTGTTTCCATTTCAGAACAGAGTCCATGCGTCTTTTGTGGTCCAGGGCGAGAAAAAATACACAGAGGTTGTGACTACTAGGGTCCCTGCCATGACTTGTCAATACTTGTCACAATACCTATCACAATACTTGCTTCCTTGCCGCTGAGGCCAGAGCGACCGTGTGCACCAGTGAGGCCGTCCGCGGCAGATGTCGGAGACCGTTGGAGCGATGGGGTGAGACGTCTGTCCTCAGATTACGTAGGCCGCAGTCAGTAGCAACTCAGTACATAGCATAGATCGTAGATCATAGGATGGAAGTGAGGAAGCTGGGTGCGATGAAAATTCAGCCCGACTTTCCAGAGGTTCTGGCAAGAGCTGGAAGTGGAAGAGTGAAAAAAGATACAGAGAGAGAGAGAGAGAGTGACGTAGTGATAGCTTGCATGAAAAGAACCACTGTGTCAGGCGTTGATGCATGACAGACCAGTGCCAATTGCCTCAATGGATGCCGGGCCCCCCCTAAAACATGGAAGTGGACAACCCCTCTTTCTAAGGGAACATCATCTAGTAACAAGAAGCTACTAGTAACAAAGGGCATCGCTACTAGGAGCAAGACGCTAGTAGCGTCCTTGTTCCTAGTGGTAATGCCAGGAGCTACTAGTAGCGTTCTTGCTCCGTTCGTGGCGATGCCCTTTGTTCCGTTCGTAGCGTCCTTGTTACGAAAGGGTCCTCCTCTCCATCCATCATGCTCGTGCTTCACGCTCCCGAGGGTTTCATCACCGTCCATCACAGCCACTGTGGTGATTTATGTCGCCCTCCCTTCCGATGCTCCAAGCTTAGATCTCCAACTCAAGCAAAGTTACTAAGCAAGGTGTTTGAAGCTTCAGAGCTGATTTGCAGGGCAGAAGAGGCTGTCAGACACATCAAGGTCACCTTGACACGATTGAAATGAAACTTGACTTAAGGCTTGACAGGCTTGATTTGTCTGATTCTGATTTGTTTTTTGGCTTACAGCCGTCCCCGCTTTACTCGAGTTTCGTCATACTCCACGGTCCCGAGAAGCGAGAGTGCGCTTGACTGCAGCGAGAGTGCGCTTGGGAATGGACGCAGCCGGCAAAAGGTGTTACAGTACGCACTAATGGCACTTTGTAAAGAAGAGTCGGAAGACAATGTTACAAATTGCATCAAATCGCGTTCCTGGAATCGTATAGTTGGCCGTCGAGTGGCCAGATGGTGTTTCGAACAATGTCAGGCTCGCATTCCAATGCCGCAGCCAAGTTCTCACAAAGAGGTTGATGCAGAGCAGGGTCGGGGAATCATGGTTCAATTAGTGAGCTTGACCCGAGACTGTGGTGTTTTTTGGCTCTATGAGTGTGCATGCTTGAATCTTATGGTTCGTTTGTTGTAGTCGTTTCTTTGGTTGCTTTTTGTTTGTGGATGTCCTTCTCATCATTACTTTGTTGTCCACTCATGCTTTTTGTTGGGGCAGATTAAAAGGTAGCAAAGTGGGCTGCACCATGCAAAGCACAAAAAGCACATTGGGTGTATAAAATAATGTGTATATAGTGCACACGTACATGTCTATTTAGTGAAGACTGGTTGGTCCATCCTCATTCTGCGAAGTGTCTCAGCAAGGCTACGATCAGTTCAGCGAGACGACCAAGTCGGCAGTCACCAGATTCAGCCGCTTGGTACTTGGCCGACGGCCACTGAGGGCCGTTGCAGGTTAGTTGCAACCTTTGTGTTTGTATGGTGCTTGGGCACTGAAATGGCTCCTTCATGCAAAAACGTGCCAAGTGTGTACAGGCATACATCACGTAGTCCACGAGCTGTACCAGTAGGCCCAGGACGCCCCCGAGAAAGTAGTAGTAGTCGTGCCCCCCCCCC